TACAGCAAAACCTCCATCTTAATAATTTTCCAATCTCAAACACTTTTTATCAATTTAAGTTTCTCGTATTTTGAGACATAAAAAAGAGAAAATTGCCATTTTGTAGCGCTTGAAAAACCCTAGCAACCACTTGTATTTAAAATTCTTTGTAACTACAAATGATTCCGAACAGAATTTTTTTTCTCTTACCAATTTTGTCAGAATCATTTTCAAGCTGCAGTTAGGAAAATTTGTATAACTCGGTCAAAATCTAATATTTTGAGATCGACTTTGTTTTATCATAAAGAAGAAGAATTCTTTTATCACATCTGAACAGAGAAAGTTCAATAGCTTCATTTCTTTTTCTATGTCAAAGGAAAAAAGTCATATTTATCGTAAATTTTGATAAAATCACGTGTCGTGCCTGAGAACATGTTCAGAGCGAATCGATGATACACTTTAGGTTAGAAAATTGTTGAGATTGAAGTTTCGATGTATTTTCTCTATACTTTTTTATTTTTACAGTATACAGAAAAATGTTCGATATATTTTCTGTAGAAAATAAAATAGAAAACAGTATACACGATAAAAATAAAAATGTTATTCAAAAAATACTAAAAGTAACAATTATTCTATCACATCCGTTACATATGAATAATCGCTTTTCACACATGCGTTCTTACGTATTGAGGTTATTATTAATATCACCCGTTTCTTCTTCATCTTCTTCAATATCAAAATCATCCAGATTGAATTCTAATTCAAATAATGGTAAACTTGGCTTTGGCGTTAGTGAATTTGTTTGTTTTGGTGTTAATACTTGTATTTGTGGTGGTGTGATCTGTTTTTTTAATGATAGTATTGGACTTGGATTCTTGCATTGTCTATTTTCATCTTGATTTGTTACTTGCATTAATTCATCATCACTCACAGTATCGTCTGAAAATATTGTTCTCGATGATTCTAGATTCATAGATGCTTGAATTAGTTCTTCATCTGTTGCATCTAATTGTTGTTGTAATTGTTCAAGTAAAAATGAATCTGTTCCCTCTAGTGGTGGTGATACTTGAGTATTGGCAAATAGATCATCTAATGTCATATCAAAATTCGGTATACCACTTGATTGAGGTTGCTGTTGACTCAACAATTTATTTGACGAAGATATTATAGTAGATGGTGGATTATCAACAG